CCTCATCCTCCCCCCCTCCTCTCCCCTCCTCCTCCTTCCTCCTCCCCTCCGTTTCACTCCATAGGCTGCTAGGGTGAGTTCGCTCACTCTGGCAGGCTAGAATATTCGTTCTGTTTTTGACAATCCGAGGAACAGACGGCCGGAACATAGGACGGCGCTGATCGCCCGGGAACTGGCGCGCTACAAGGTGGACATTTCAGCACTCAGTGAGACCCGATTCGCCAAACAAGACCAACTGTTGAAGATGGTTGTTGGCTACGTCTTCTTCTGAAGAGGACTCCCAAAGGCAGAGCTACATGACGCAGGCGTCGCCTTTGCCATCCGAAATGGAATAGTGGGACGACTGTCCCGTCTGTCGTAAAACATCAGTTACTGCCTTTCTAGCCTGCGTTTGCCTCTTCAGGAAGTCAAATTTGCTACCACCGTCAGTCTCCGCGTCTCCGCACCCAACTACCGACTCCGAATAGGCGAAGACCTAGTTCTAGGAGGACCTGCACGCCCCCCCCCCCCCCCCCCCCCGGACAACTGCACCAAAGGCGACAAGTTGGTCGTCTTTGGTGGCTTCAGCGCCCGCGTCAGGACAGACTACTCTGCTTGGAGCGCTTGGAAGAACGTGGAGAACTGCAGGCTCTGGACGACAGCACTGCCGTTGAGACTTGGTGGTATAAGATGCGGAATACTATCCAAACCGCTGCTTCGGACGTCCTTGGACGCGCTCGTCGCCAACCTCAGGACTGATTTGACGACGATGACGCATAACACCACTAGCCTGCTCGCCGAAAAGACCAGTCTTCACAAAGCCTGCATGAGCCATCTGTCTGGTCGTTCACCTGCGAATCAATCGCACGGAGACTGACGAACCAGTGCCTGGTTCGTCAACATGGCGCCGCCGCCTCAACTGCCAGCATTGCTCTTGAATATTCAGCCCTCGTATGGGCCTACTAAGTCACATACGTCTTCATGAAGCTCTGTGGTTCATCTGCACAGACATGGCAACACCATCACACACTCCCCGACAACACATGCAGATCACATGAACACCCCTAACACTACACATAACCAGCACCTCTCACATAGGTGGGGAGTGTCCCCTATAGTTACTTCCTACATACGGCTTCTCTGCTGCGTGGGAGACCCGAGTGGCCCATCCCCTTGTGTGTGGGGAATCCTGGTGCGTGCAAACGGGAGGCGGGTCGTGTGTGTGGCACGCGTAGATGAGCTGCTCTCAGCCCCGTCAGCCATCTCTATCCATCTCAACAGCGGTTGGTTGATCGACAGTGGACTGGTGTCTGAAGGAGGGAATCGAGTGTGAGTTCGACGTCTCAGCGCATTTTTCTTACGAAAAACAAGATGACGCACTTGAGACTATCATGGTTCGCTGAAAGCCGTGATTTGTAGGGCTGTCAACTGAGGCTGTAACTCGGACATCATAGTCAGGCTAGTATGGGAAGAAAGGGACACGATCGCTGGGACAAGAGCTTTATTAGCCTGACGTTTCGGATTCCTGCTCGAACCCATAATCAGAGACAAAAGCAGATATGGGTGATTCACGCACAAGGGGCTGCAGTGTTTATAGGATGCAGTCGCCATGCCACCGCACACCTATGAACATTCACGGCTCCACCCTTCATCCGGGATCGTCGCACTTGGTGTGCTAATTGTTTGATGGGCGATATTCGCGTCGTTAATTGTTGCAATTTCATCGCGTGCGTTGGATGTTGGTGTGATGATTGCTCGACCATCTGACGCACCGACCCTGGTGTTGGGAAAAGTGTTCGCATGTGCGCTCCCCGCGTGGCCAATTACTGTGCCTAGGCGAAGTTTCAGCACCGAGTATGGAAGGGGAACTTCACTGCACTTGTTAATGGACTGCGGACCAGTAAACCATGACTCAAGCAGCTCCCGGCTCACACGGTTGTCACCGCTTGCGAGAATTTCCGTCTCGTTAAATCTGAATGTGTGGTCGGATCTCGTCGAATGAGCCGCAACTTGAGAACTAGGGTCATTTTTCCGCACCGCTGCAGCGTGTTTGGCCATTCGCGCTCGGAGCTGTGTTCCGATTTCTCCGACGTAGTTGCTTTGTCTGCAACTGCACCAGATCCGGCAAACGACTCTAGACGTTTTTAGCCGTGACAGTGGGTCTTTTGGTCTCATTACCTGGCGCCTCCGGTCTGTGTGCGACCCCAACCCCAAGTGGTGCGAGAAGGCGGCCGACAGCTTCCGAAACGTTCTTGACATACGGAAGCGCTCGCCAAGATTTGGTTAATAAAGCTCTTGTCCCAGCGAACGTGTCTCCTTCTTCAAGACTGCCTCCTGGGACTCGTCTCATCGCTTCTATTAGCCTAGTATGGGCTTGTGCTATGAGTGACAGACTGGTGTACTGAGTGTAAGACTGCAATTGTTCTTTCCTACTGTGAATTCTATGGCGCTCCCACTCAGTGGGATCCGTGCTGCCTTCGTTTATCTTGATGTAAAATCCTGCTTAATGTGCGTTATGGACCAGGAGGTGTGCTGGTACGCATAGGTGTGGGTTGTCGCTTTACCAGTCACCTGTGCCTTCTTTCATCTCCCGTCTTTTTGACTCTATAGTAACGCTAGGCCCAAGTGAGAGTGCGGTAGAGGCGACGCATGTCACCGTCCCTGCTCTGACTCTGCTATGGAGCACACGATGGCATCGTCGGCAACGACGATCGAACTGTCTAGTATCCCGCGATTTGTTGGTGATCCTGGTGGACTGTGCAGAAAACACAAAGCCTACAATCATGGGCGTGAAGCAAAGGCGTTTTCTTGAAGTGCACGGGAAATTAGATTTATTTA